GTAGTGGTTTGTTAAAAACCTCATTGCAGAGTTTTTAATTAAAAAAAATCCACCAAAACCGCCCCGTACACCTACAGGTCATTACACAATTAATAGTGCATCTCATTGCAGTATTTAAATGGAGGAAAATCTCCCGGATGAATTACAATTTCTAATTCGATCTCGGCGTAAAAATAAAACGAGCAAAGGGCCCCCGGAACAACACGAAAGCAAATATCCCGAAAACCGTAATAACCGGAAAAGGAGAACCGCGGTGCATCCTCTGCAAGACCCTCTTACATATTCATCAGGGGGTTATCTGTCGGACAAGCTGGCGGCCTGTTGGAGACGATAAAGGAATATTTACTTTACTTTACAGACTGTAATTAAGCACACCTATATTTGCATGGGAGATTAAATCGGGTAGGGGACGGTCTGATAGTAGGATTCCTCGAGTTTTGTTTGTGTTCTGGTAATCACGCGTCATATTCTAAACGGTGAATTATCTCGATGAACTTTACTGTTGGCAATAGGAATGGGAATGGGATTTCTTTCGCAGGTGTGTGTAGAGTATGCATTTCACATCCACGTAGGCTAAAAATAATACCGTTCGTTTACATTCTGTATTAATGTTAATAAAACTTGTTTTTGAGCCTCCATTCCAAAAATTTCAGTTTAAATTTCTCTAAAGTGATGTTAGGCTTAGGAAGAGTTACACGACTGTAAGAAGTAGGTGCTTTTGAACGCACGTTTTCAACTTCGACTTCCACATCGGGCACTTTCTCATCATCGAGCGTCTCCTGCTTCTCCGCGCGTTTCCTCCTCTTCGGCTCCTTCAAGTCGCTCTTGTAAGCGCTCTGCACCTTCCCCACGGCCATCTCCTTCAGCGCGCGTCGCTTCTCCATGTCCTGCTTCATCCTCATCACTCTCAGCTCCGCTTTCCTGGCCTCCACCTTCTGCATCACCAGCTCGTTCATCATGTCCGATCTCCGTTTCGCCTCCTTCAGCATCTTCCACGTCTCGGTGCTCTCCTTCATCTCGACGGGGCGCGACCGCGTCTTCGCAGCCTTCCTGGAGCTCGCCAAATTTAACATGTCTGGGATTGATGAATTGGAATGTACACGGGAATTTTGGGACAGCGAATGACAGATGTGGATGAAAATGTGAATGATATTTGTCACGTTGATGAATGAAAGAAGAGGCGTTTGTAGTGTGCGCTTGATTATAGTTTTAAAAAGTTCATCAAAAGGTGTATTTTTCCTGAAAAATTGGTAATACAAAAATGTAGGGAGACGGTTGAATGTAGTTAGAAAAGACGTGTTTAATATGTGTATCAAAGACGGGTTTTAGGGCACGTTTGAATCGTTCATTAATCCGAAAATTTCGTCACGCTTTACGCATTTTCGCCCCCGAAAAGCCGCGCCGGAGTGTATATAGGAGGGAAAAGTCATCTGCCGCCGTCTAGTTGGCGCGATAACGGAATAATAGAGGGAAAAGGAAAAGTTGCGACCTCCGGCTGGTGTTCACTTGTGCTCTATACCTGTTGCTCTCCTATACCCGGCTCCCGAACATCGAATAGCGGGATATCGCAGGAATTTTCCGGGGGGAATAAAAGTTTCGCGATATCCAACGCATTCATCTCTAATTCATTGGAAATTTCATTAATTTTCGACCGACGCATAACTCTCGACTTCGTGCTCGTTCTCGATCAACCGGCCCTGACAGGTTACTCATATTCCGGCGCGTCCTTTCGGCAAATGAAATGTCTGGAGAAAGCCGATCCCCGATTGCCGGAGATTAATATCCGCGCCGTCTTCGTTAGGGAATTCACCTGAGTTGCTCAAAAAAAAAGCCCGGCGATAAATCCAGTTACATTTTCGACGGTAATAAATTACCGTGTGTGAGGTGTGTAAGTTGATGCCGTTGCGGTGGATTGATTAATTTCGCATTGTTAGCCGGGTGGATGAATGTCAAGTGAGCCAGAATTGGCTCCGCCGATGCACGGCTGGGGTTTTTATTTCGCGCGAAGTTAGAGAATGATAATGGAAAACGACGCTCACTCCGCGGAACAAACTTCCTTATTAATAATAAACAGGGAAATCGAGCGTAGAGGCGAAACTGCTCGAAAGTACGAAAAACAATAAAAAGAAGAAACAACGTTTGAAAATTTATAATTTAAATTGACATAGCGAAATTAGATGAAGCGCTCCGTTACGGTAGAACGGAGCCGTTGAAAACTTAGTTGATAATAAAATTCCAAAAGTTGCGCTTTATTTAAATATTCCTGAATATTAAGTTTTCCGCCTTTTGCATTAATAGATATAGCAAGTAACAATGCCAGTCGCAAGGTTCATCGACGATTCGTTTTATTTTTCCCGTACATTTACTCCACACTACTATTTGTTAAAAAAAACAACCCCTGTTTATTTAAGGAAGAAAAAAAAATTACATTACCATTTTTTAATCAAACCCGGATCTACCAAGATTACCCCCTCGACTCGCGCAATTGATCGCGAATCGCACGTCCGGAATATGGAAAATAAAAGGAAAAAATATGCATCCTCCGGCGCGAACCGGGCGCCCCCCTAATTCCGAATCCATTACAAGGTTATTATCGAGGGGGGTGTCGCGAGGAACCGGCGATTTTTCCGCGAAGGCGCGCGTCGGGCCACCGCCGGATCAACCATTAAAGTTAATTGAATTTCCTTTCGGCGTCCGCCTGCGGGGATGTCGGAGCTCGCTAAATTGACTTGGAAATGACCGTGAAGGCGGCGACGTATTCCGGGGGCATTCGAATGGCTGAGCACCTTGGGAGCCACCACGCATAGGCGGGCGGTTTAATTTTTTTTATTTTCGCCCCTTGATTTCATAAAAATGTCGCTTATTTGGCTAGAAAATCTACAGCAAACATTACATTTTTGTATTATTTTATTAGCTAGGTTCTTTGGTCTATACATTTAAAATTGTCTTAAATTATTAGAACCATTTTAGTACTGACTAGGGTCATTTGAAACTGTTCAGGGTATTCTAAGAAACATTTAGAACTGTCCGAAATCATTTAGAACATACTCAGAACTATTTGAAACGGCCCAGAATAAACTAGAATTAGGTATGCCGAATCCTTTAGAACCATTTTTGAACTGACCATTTCAAAGAGTTCATTTATCTTTAGAATAGTCCATAATAAACTAGAAAAGTTAAGAACCATTTCGAAAGCTTTCCGAACTATTTAGAACTTTGCCAAGAACATTTTCATCATAAACTAAAAATAGTCTTAAAGATTTTCGTGTAGCAAAATCTAATTAATGAGCAGAAAATAATTATGGAAATTTCAAAAAAAAAAAATAACCTACCTAAAACTATATTAAGAAGATGGATGTATCATCACTTTTGCAAAGGAGCGCTGTAAATTGAACTTCGAATTTCCTTAATGGCTTTCCGGATGAAGGAAAACATAATTAAATTGTTTGAGACTAATTAAAGTTGTTAAGTAATTGTTTGTGCGCGAATGCACGAACAAAAAAAATCGAGCAAATTCGAGATGGGAAAATTTCGAAAAAAAAAAACCAACTCGCACGCGTTAAAAATCGAATTAGCGCGCCGTTACAAAAACCGTCTTCGTTTCGTAATGAACCTGTTAATCGCTTTGAAGGCGGGAAAAGTGGAGCAAAATTCATCTTCGGAAGTAATTAACAAAATAAAATGACCCGTAAAATAAAACGGCGAAAGGGAAGTCGAGTAATGCGATAATTCAAGTTGCCCCGGCGCCCTGGGGGGCGAGCGAAAAAGGGGGGGTTGGTAGTAGAAACCTGGCAAGTTTCTCTGCATGTTGCACCGCTCCGCCGCCATGGAACACCGTTTAATCTTGTCGGAATTTGTCGGCATTAATTAACGATTCTAAGCTTATTATTTTCTATGTGAGGCGCACGAGGGGGCGAAACAAAGGTGTTTTAGTTTGCGTTATTAGCGAGATTCGGGGTGTATCTTTGCATATTAATGAGCAATTCCAACTTTCTTAGCGCCCGGATAGTTTCTATAGGATAGTTCAAAATCTAAACAAGTGGATAAACTACCTATTTATAATTTGAATAACACCCGAGCCGAAATTGCTCGTTTAAAATTTCCTTAAAAACTCATCCGGATTTAGTTTGGTTTGTAGTACTGCATATGCGGATTTTTCACTCCGAAATGAACTAGCTATTTTCTAGGTAAACCTCTTAACGCGATCCGATGAGTTACCCAACCCCTAAATCGATATAAACCCGAAAATTATGTCGGGAAGGTTCTATTAGGAAGCGTTATGGAATTTCCAGAATATCGGCTTACTTATTAATGTCCCGCAATCGAATTGAACGAAAAAGGATGCCGATCCCCCGGCCTTAATTCGACCCGAAATGGGAAACGATAGTACCGCGTTATCTACCTGTCAGCAAACTTTAAAATTACATTACTTTTATTCGGTAAAATATCGAAAAAGGGATCGTTATCCCACCATATAAATGCAAAATCGGTGTTTTCGATTCATTTAAATATACATGATACAGGTAAAATGCTTTGCTAAAAAAATTACTCAAGATACACACATTTATTTAAAGAAACTTGGTAAATAATAAACGATTAACTTACATTTTTTATACTCTCATCATTAGTAAGTATGTTGTAATGGAAAATCGCGATACTTTTAAAATAATGAAATACATACCAATCTGTTTGATTTTTCTATTTAATTTCCACATTTCCATTATTTTAACGCCCGTTTTTAATTAATTTTCGAATAAAACAACAAACGTGCGGCATTCGCAATTAAAATTTTCAAAATGTTTTCCCAATATGGCCAGCGCGATAATTTTAATTAAGTCCGACTGAACAAAAAACAAAATATCTTCTTTACCCGAAAAATAAACGTTTCCACGATACGTAAACCTATAAATTTTACACCAAACTAAACAAACAATTCCCGTTATAACAGCAAGCTTAAAAAAAGATGCGGCTGTAAAATTGGAAATTGGAAATTTACGTACCTGTCATAGTAGTAATCCCTGAAACAAATAAAAAAAATAATTAGAAAATTTTACTAATTAATATCTATACATGTAGTACAAAGGGTATGGAGCTGTTTGAGGAGTAACTGTTGAGCAATTCCGCTGATCTATTGTTAGGGATTGTGTAGCAAGTAAAACCCTTACGCATAGTTTTGCTTTCTTAGCTAACAATACGGAATTTCCCACTTCAACAACCCCAAACCTACTAAATCTTCAAGTTACCGCATACCCAGTACTCGTGCTAAAAAATACAAAAACATTTTCTACTAATTAAGTTTGAGAATCTCTCGTTGTAAACAAATGATTTAACCGAAAAAAAATAGCACGGAATCTCAAATATTTGTTCTACAACCTAAGTGGCTTGTATACACCGACGCTATTTTCGACGTCGGGACGTCGGAACGTCTCACACGTTTCGCGGTCAGCGCTCGATAGGGAACTCTTCTTTATCCGGTTTTACTACTTATCTATCTGCGTATTTCTTATAGAAATCGGATGGTGCCACCGCAATGCCCCAATTTACTGCCGGAGGATTTTCATGCGTGCCATTTATCCTACAGACTGCGCCAATTATCATCAATCTTGACCTTGTTTCTGAATTTATCCTATAGACTGCGCCAATTGTGTTTTATATATATTTTTTTATAGATAGACGGTTTAATTGAAAATCCATGCGCTCGGAAACAGTAAACAAGTTTATTTTTCGACGTAAAGATCACGTTCGCACTTATTACGGCGATGATTGTAAAACCGTAAAAGTTTTAGGGCCGTCCGTCCATTGTTTGATGTTAAAATTGGCGAAAAAGCCGTTCCGTCGTTTCGCTTTATGTCCACCATTGCATTAGTTAAAAGAGGTCAGTTCGGGTCATAAATGTAACCACATTACCTCAAGGTATATCGTACAACTTTTACGCCGCCTCTATCGTACGTTAATACAAATATTTTTCGGCTCTTCCGCGCTCGTTTAATTCCCTAATTCCTAAAACTCATCCGGTAGAGAGTGAGGTGGATACACAAAAAAACCGCTCGTGGCGGGCTTTCAAATATTTACTTTCGAAAAACTGGCGCGCATTTGTACTCCGATTTACGACCTTCTGTTGTATAAATTTACCTCGGAACGAAAGTAGAGACTTCTCTCCCGGGTAACCGCCGAGGAGATGAATCGACGCGAACACACAAAGCAGAAAGTAGTTTACTCACCCGCTAGATAGTTGCTCGCATACGGGGTGGGCGCGAGCGCGCCGAGTCGCCCCTAAAGCGACCCGATCCTACTGACTGCGCCACTTTAATTTCCAGCCGGACTTAATGACGGCAATCGCGGCTGCATAATTCGGGTTTGATTTGGGGTCGGCGGCGAAAAATTTAGGTCCGGGGGACAATCGATGCGGAATTGCGTTAGCGCCACCCGGTAACCTTAGGAGACCGGTCAGTGAAAACGGATCCACAACGGGAATAAATTACAGTTTGATTTGTATTCCGACAATGTAAATATTTAATCCGCTTTACCTTCGGAATTAAAACCGGCCTTTGTTCGGATTCGGTCAGGTAGAATAGTGGCATTAGTTCTTGGATTGGATTTAAGTGGTTTAATGCCCGCGGGGTGCCAGACTATTAATTTTATTCGGTTTCGCATGAATTTTTTTTTTCGAATTTGTAACGTGCGAAAGTGCACGCTTGTATTGTTCCAATTTTGCGTTTCTTTCAACTGGCGCCCGGCTAATTGGTCATTTACGAATTTCAATCGAATATTCAACGAATCGAATACGCGCGCATCAAATTCCAAATGACGTTAATTAAAATTTATACAATTATTCGACTCGAAAAATATTCCAATTTCACATAGGAAACAACGTTGAAATAATAATAATAGTTACGGATTGTTAAGTAATTTGGTAAATATATTTTTTTGTGCGATTTTTTTAATTGAATATTATTTTACTTGAAAATAGCAATACTTGCGTCAATGTCGAATAAATTTCGTGTGTGCGACTATATTAATTTGGCATTCGATTTTCCTCCAATTATCGAATCCTAAACTAAATTTTCACATCAGCGCCACAATCTATTGACTAACAGAAATAATTAACTTTGCGTTCGCTAGATGAATTAGGTCCATTAATGGCTATTATATCTGCTGAGTTAATACTGTATATTTCATCGTGAATTATTAATGCAGCTCATCAAGAAGTACGTACTAAATATGCTGCTTTATTTTATGAATTATTGAAAGTATTTATTAATAAAAGATTTAAACGTATCTACGTAAAAGCCGTTAGGCATTAATTATAAGGTCGACAAAAATCTTAAATTCATTACCGTTCTAAAAAAGAAAAAACTCGGTAACCGGACATTCGGTCAATTTCCCGCTCCGGCGAAATAATGCAAATTGGCTAAACCGGCCGTCCCGACGCCGCCGCCGCCGCCGCCGCCGCCGGTCGTCTTGCACAGGGCTCGTCTGATTCCAACTGTAATTACAACGTTCCGTAATTTCAGATGAAAGCGTCCGAACGGACTAAAAGACAGATCTAATAGTCGAATTGCACGAAACAAAGGAACCAATTAATTATCCATTATTTTATATACCTGTTATAGGAACATTCGATTTGTAAATAAAAGTCCCTTTGTTTCGATGCGTTTTCTTCCGAACGAACGGCCCGCAAAAAAAACCTTTTGATGTCTTCGTTACCTCTTTTACAACGTTTCGAATTCGCATTGTACAATGCACTACCGTCAGGCCAGACAATGCAAGCTTGTTTCGTTACCGGGCGAAAATATTTTTATGCGCTTTGCCATGAAACTGCTCTGTACAGAAAATAGTGATTCGAATAAAATTGCTTAATGGGCTACAAAATACCTATATGCAATTGGTAAGTATTTTTAACAATACAATAGTGAGCTATTGAGTTCTATAGGGGTTATATTTATGCTATACAATCATTAACAAAGTTCTTATACAATAAGAAATTAATCTAGTTAGCCCTTAACTAATTAAAGTAGAAAGTTCTACTTGCAAATAGATAATTAATCACGCGCAAGGTCACCTTTCTTCGGGCAAAACGACGTTTATTCAGTACCGAGTCGTGTACGAGGAGGCGGCGAAGGACCGCAGCGGCACGTTTAATATTATGTCAAGAGTGTTAACCGACATTAACATAATTCATCTAGATTGTAAATTCCAACAGGCACTGGATTCGTTATACATCAACTTAGATCCTAATGGATTACGTATAGCGTTCCTCTCGAAACGTTCAGTCAATGTTATGAATGATGTGCCTAATTGGTTTACTGTACGAGCACAAAATCCCACGTATACAGTGCGCTATTATGAGCTTTCCAATGCATATTGAAGCTCGGTGATAAATATTCATGTACTATATTTGTGTGACGCACGGGCCGAATTTGCATTTAAACTTGTCACTTTTAAAAACTTATAAAAAAATTTCCTATATTGGAGAAAATACGGAAGCTTTTATAGTGATATAGTAAGAAAAGTAGTGCGATTAAAATCGAGTTTAATTCCTCCGCGTAATCCGAAAGCTCGGCGTACTACATACCAGGGATAAATCCTAAAAGGATTAGAAAAGCAATCACCGGGTAATGCATTTAATTGAATAGCCCTTTTCGGATGTATAAGGGCGTTTATGTAAGAGTGCGCCGCGCATCGGAACTTATTTCCCATCCAAATTTCGTTATCGGCGCTAACTTAGTAAAAGCATCGTCGATGAACACTGGGGAAATTATGTATAGAGGGTTTCCGGAGCCGGGGATTCGCCCGTGATTTTCGACAATCGCACGCCGCCCGACCTGCCGAAGCGCCAGTTTCATTATGTGATCCGGTTTTTGTTCTCCTGAGGTTAAATGACGGCGCGATGGACCCCGGTCGGGCCTGCATTATTGACTAGATGAAATTGTTCGTGTTGATTAAATCATAAATTTTTGCTCCGCTCGATTGGCTATCGATTCGTCTCCGGGCGAGTTGTTGTTTAAACGGTTTTCGCGAAAAATCAGCTAAACTACACCGCCCGGCAACGTCGGCGAAAATTAATAATCAAAATAACGCGTTATATGTATTTTTTTGTTGGGATTCCATTCGCTTTATTTAATTATAAATTCGTTTGATATGCATAATTTTTTTAAATAAATTATTTATGTAATTCGCAACGTAATGTTCTATTAATGAAACCGTGGTGCTTTCAAATTTGCGGTTGATCAGCCGGCCATTTCATCTCATTAATTGATCCTAAAAAATCGTTAATTAATTAATGATATCGCGGATAGAGCGAAGCACTTTTATTAATGACGTATTGATCAAAGTAATTAAATATAAATAACGTGTTTTCCGGTAAAAACGAAATGGCGAGGATTTATTTGGAAATTAGTCTGATTGAAAATTAATGGGTAAGTAGGTAAAGGCCGAAAGTAGAGAAATCTCGACGAAGATCAATTTCGAACGTAATTTTCTTTACTTAACCGCCTCACTACAAACAAGATATTAAATGCCGAAATAACTCATTTTGCGCGAGAGAATTCTGAAGTTTTCTAGCTAATCCCATCAAAAACTTGTTATAATACAGAAGTAATCTTTCAGGGCATTAAGGTACATCAAAGATGGCCCTCGGCGAGGAAGTAGAAAGTAATTGGATTTGTCTGTAGGTCCCTAAAAATAATAATAAAAAAATAAACAATTCCAACTCCTATATTACTATTTCAGTGGCGTATACATATATTTAGGCGAAGCTGTTTAGGGATAAAAAAAGTTTATCTACACCACTGCCAGTATCATTCTCTGCACGCCATTAAAATTCTCCAAAATTAACTTTCGTTTTTCTCGACTTCATTCATTCGTCATTTATTCGGGACTTTTTCGCGACGCGATTATTGTTTTACTCGAAAGCAATTTTCGTAATGTAACTGAATTTCCTTCGTCGCTTCGTCCTTTCTTCCTTCGCCGATTCCGCAGGACCTCAACTGAAGTGGAGCAAATTCCATTAGAACGG